AATCTTTGCTGTTATGTGAGTAATTATTTCTGATTTCATTTTTCCCAGATCCTCTTTTGTTGCCAGTTCATGGAGTCCAAGTGGTTGAGTATCAGATTGTTCCATCTCGTTTCCCTTTGAGGTTCCTGCAGGTGATCTGGAAGTCTGGTTTTGAGCCTTGTTTATGTGCCTTCTCATTTTGATTGGGGGAGGGTGTTGTTGGTGCCTGCACAGCTCACCTCCTCTGCTCTGGGAGTGGTGGAAAGGTGGCCTGGAATCCTCTTCCTCTGGGCTGTGACCAGTGGAAGGACAGCCTGGAAGCCCCTATCTCTGGGCTGGGAGTGTTGGAACCAAGAGGAGAATTTTTTAATAAAAGGACATTTTCTCTTTTTGATATAGGTATATGTTGGAAGCAGCTTTGAATAAGTTGTCATTAATTCATCTGTAGTTGACACCAACTTTATCACAAGTTGTTTAGGCTCAACACAGTTCCTTTCTCAGAACTGAAAAGCTAAAAGAGACTCTACTACTTTAAGTGATGAAAGCTTTTCAGCCATCAGGTGGAGCATTTCAGAGCCTGGAGATAAGGCTTAGCTAGAAATTATTGCTCCTTGATCATTGCACAGGGCAGTAGGAGCACATTCTGATCAGCATGGTAAGTGGCTCCCATACAAGAGAATTTTTAAAAGAGCCATTTGTTTCTTCCAATATCCTTACCTGTAAGCTGAAAGCAGACTTGGGTATGCTCTGATCTAGTCATCTGTGGCTTTGCTTCTGTAAGGTGAAGCCTGATTGATGTAATTCTTCTCTGCCTTTAATTGAAGCACTGAAACAAAAACCTCTCCTTTTAGCTCTTACATTTGTTACTGAACTGCAGTGCTGACTTTTCTGTAGAAATGAATTACTTTTGGAGTTTCTGGGGACTCAGAAACTATTGTTAAGGCCCAGGCTACTGTTGCTAAGATCATAAAAGTGTGGCAGAGCAAAGTACACATTTTCTCTGTCATCTCTTTAATCCTTTAGGCTCAACAATGAATATAGTTACAGTAATTCTATTTTGTAATCAACTTGTAAGACTTCCTTTTTAATCTCTTCTGTGCAAGTTACAGTAATTTTCAGTGCCTTAAATTTTATAATTCTTCTATTGAGCAATCTTTCAAACTGTTTTCTAATATTTATTCATCTGACCCCATTGGGTTTTCTGCCTAGCCATTTTAGAATGTTTAAATTATTTTTTGTTTTCATAATTATTCTTTCCTGAGAGGGGGAAGTGGAAGGGGTAGGGGAAAGGAAAGAAGGGAATGGAATTAATATGAGAAAATGAAAAAATGGAAACAAAACCTTTGTAAATAGGGAGGGATGGAGGGGTTGAAGGGAGGGCAGGGGAAGGGGAAAAATAAGAACCAAGAGAGACTAGGTAAAGGTGCAGATTTCCAATGATGAATGTCATTATATTGTACACCTAAAATGTACCAATAAAAGGGTATACAAAAAATAATTATTCCTTCCAACATGAAGGACACTTGTAGTAATGGAATGTTCTGTATCTTGACTGTTTTGATATCAGCATTCTGGGTGTGATATAGTGTTGCAAGATATTTTCAAGGAGGGAAAATGGGTAAAGTCTACCTGTGATCTTTCTGTGTTATTTCTTGAAACTGCATATGAACCTACAATGATGTCAATATTAAAAGTTTAATTAAAAATTATGCCTTCCTAGTACTTCAAATAAGCATTGTAGCAGCATTTATAAGTCTGGTGTGGCTTATCAATGTAATATTTAGTCGGCATTTCACAATCTTAATGTATTTTACACTATGGCTAATATTTTTAATGGAGAGTTTGGAAAGGAGGGAAAGGCTAAGAGAAGAAAAAGGTGAAGAAAGTCTTCAACACCTTCAGATATAGTCATGCAACAAATTCACCTGCTTCTAAAGGCAAGAAGGGGGCTTGTTGGGCCAAATTATTCCTGCTGAATCAGAAAAGAACAGTATTGTTCTTATGTCTAAGCCACATTAACAGCAGTAATTTTTTTTGTTTGTGATTTTTATTGTGGACATTGTAAGCTAATACCCCATCTTAGTAGAATATAGGACAAGGTGAAGGGCACTGAGGGAATTAGTGAGAGAAATCTACATGTAAATTTCACAGATTAAATGTTTTTAATGGCACAAAACAATGAATACTCTCCTCCTCCCCTTTGGAACTGCAATTTGCAACTGTAATTTAAATTGAGGGAACAAAGTCTAGACCAGATTACAGTAGTAAACGTATTTACAGCGATTAAAGTTTTATAGGAAGGAGAGGAATGAAATTGTCTTTTGTACATAAGGGTATTTGAGTCCTGCCTGTAATGGAATATGTTGTTTTGATTTTTACATAGGAAACAAGGGTAGGAATATCAGTCCTCAGTGCTTTCAAAGTTAAGTTCACAGCCCTTGTCATGAGAGGTTGAGACTTGCAAAAAGAATGGAAGACAGAAGTTCTGCTGAGTAGTGAACTTGAGCTTATCTTGCAGCAAGGAAGTCTGCGCTAGGTCTGGTGAATCACAGGGGCGAAGGGCAAGGGTTGGTGTCATGGAGCAGAGTCCAGGTTGGACCGCAGGTGCGGCCCGCCACACCTCGCACTGGGCTCCAGCCGCCAGGGGTCTGCGTAGACTTGGGCCAGTGGTTAACGGGGAGGGGATGTGGGCCTTTCTGTGTCTGAATCTTAGACTCTGTGAAAGTTCAGTTGCAGACAATTTCAGGGCTCCCTTCTGCCTCACCCCCCTCAGAAGGACGCTGCTGAGTGGGGCCCGGCACCTCCTCGCTCTGACCTCGCGTGAACTGGTTCCTGACTGCGGGCAATCAAAATCAGAGGCGGTCATCACTGTAGGTTTCTAGGCTTTGGTCTTTCCCTCTCCAAGAGAAGTAAATGATTGTGTCTGTTTAAATTACTGAAAAGATGTTTGCCTTTAGAAAAACAAGTGAATGGCGATTTAAATGTGGGGTGGGGTAGAAATCAATGAGGGTAGAAGAAATAGTTTAAATCAGCAAACATTCCTTAGTACTTAGATACAACTAAACAATATCTTCATTCATTTTCTCTTAGATTTTTCTACTTTTATTTTTAAATGTATTTGATATCACACTTTATGTACAATTATGTATCTTACATGGTTTTTAAACTCTTTTATTGTAAGCATGTCCTTAAAGATAGTTTATTTGAGGTACTGGGGACTGAACTCAGGACCTTGTGCTTGCAAGGCAGGTGGCAGCACCACTGAGCTAAATCCCTGGCCAATGTGTTTTTGGATAGAACTATAATCCTTTAAGTAAATGTTCAACAATAGATAGTTAAGTAGATTTATTGTTTTTCTCTCTTATAAATGCTTTTAATTCATATGTTTATGCCATTTGCCTATTTATCTAGTGGGTGTGTCCAGTGTTCCATGCATATAAAATTGATTTATATATAGTCCTTTGTCTAATAAATTTTTATATGCATAAGTTTTTTATAATATAGAAACATTTTGGGGTTGTTAAATCTGTTGCATTTTTTTCTTAGTAAAATTTCCACTCCTTTTAAGCCTAGAATGTTCTTCCTTAGCAGAGCATATATGAATAATTAATACAAAATTTTAAAGCTTGGAAAGGTAACATCTTTAATTTATCTGTGATGAATTCTGGTATTTGACAAGGTTCCACATTGATTTTGTTTATATTCCATCCCGGTAACTAGTTAAATTTTTTTAAGGTGAGTTGGCCTGATACACATATCCTACACATACATTTACACAAATTGTTCAAGACAAATATATATTCTTAGTTCTTAGGTCAGTATATAATAGGAGCCTTACTTATTTTTGTTGAAGGAAACTTTTTACTGAAATTTGCATCAATAGTTCAATTGTTTCGGAAGCTAACTGTACCCTGGTGTTTGTTTTTCCTGGGACGTTTTGGATTACTTTTACAGTAAATTTCTCTTGTGGGCTTATGCTAGCTTGGGTTTCTGTCAGTTGTGACCAGAAATGCTGAGGATCATGGCTCATGCTGACTAATCACCTGCTCAGTTCTGACTCTCTGTGGCTCTTTCAGAGGGAGTGCCTTTCCCTTCACATTGGCCAAACTGGCATCCAGATTGGGGATGCATGTTGGGAACTCTATTGCCTGGAACATGGAATTCAGCCAGATGGAGTTGTTCTTGACAGTAAACAGGATCAGCGGGAAAATCCTAAAATGAAGCATGCAAATGCATCTTTTGATACCTTCTTTTGTGAGACAAGAGCTGGGAAACATGTGCCCAGAGCACTCTTCATGGACTTAGAGCCAACTGCTATAGGTAATGCAAAGCCTACCTTCTAATCTCCTTAACCAGATCCACAATCAAATAAACAACTCAAGTGAGTAGGATCATGAGATTCTTCTAATCGATCTAAGATCATATGGACCTTTTCCAAACTCAGAGCCTCATTAAATAGCTATTTGGGGTGATTAGTATGACAAATATACCCAAAGGGAACACAAGGCCAGGCTTTTCCCCCCGAGTAATAAAACTAATTAAGTCCTTGCTAATTTATCTACACATACATCATCACAGAACACTGAGTCCTTTCCTGGGTTTGAGAGTCGGTTGCTGGAAGCTACTGGCAAAGAATCTGAAAACTTGTCATTATTTTCTTATAGAGAGTAAAATGTTTGAAAATAATTTTAAAGAAGCAAGGAGTCAAATAAATGTTCAAATTGTTAGGAAAGTCAATATAATTTTATGATGAATAACGGAAGACATTGTAACATCTTGTACAAAAGTTCTTGGGGTTAGAGAAACACTGGAAAGAAAATGTGTTCTCACTGAATTAAGAGACAACTGGATGTGTTTTTGATATTGTGTGTCATAGATCTACTCCTGTGTGATAAACTGTCTTCATGCTCAGTGGCTTTAGGTAATAACAGTCAATATTTTGTTCATAAATCTGCAGCACCTCTTTGGTCCACATGCTCCCAGCTAGGAAGTTTCTGGTGGGGCTGGGGGAGTTACTTTGATAGTTGCTCACTCATCTGGCTGGTAAGTTGGCAGCAGCTGTTGGCTGAGACCTATGCCATGGATGTGGTAAAGACTCTGCCCCTCCTTGCGTGACCTCTCTCTGGACTGCTGTGGCTTCCTTAAAGCCAGGTTCCAAAAGCAAGCATCTCATGGGAATAATGCAGAAGCCCATGGCATTGGAAGTCACGTAATGCCACTTTACTGTTCTCAGTGGCTTGTTGTAGTTACACAAATTCACTAGGGAGAAGACACAAATCCCAGTTCATAATGGAAAGCATGGTTCTAGAAGTACACATGAGACAGAAGGTATTATGGCTGTCTTTGAAAATCTAGTGTGTTTGTAGTAGGTTGCGGTAGATTTTCTTATGAGAACAAAGTCACAATAAATAACAAACTGATGGAAGAAAATTGATTGATGTCAATGTGAACGAAAAGATAAAATGTTTTATTAAGAGGATGAAGCTATCAAAGTATTGAGGCCAAGAGGCTCATATACAACTTTGGCATCACTCTGCTAGATGTAAAATAATAAAGAAATGAGGAATGGCTCATAACTTCAAGAATGAATGAGAATAGTGTGGATGCTGAGAGCAACAATTATGTTATGAAATAAGTTATGTTATGTTGAGTTACAAGTGGCCTAAGAAAATATCTGAAGTTTTATTTATTCATTTATTTATTTATTTATTTATTTTGGTACTGGGGATCAAACTCAGGACCTTGCGCTTGCCAGGTAGGCGTGGTCCCACTGACATAAATCCCCAGGCCTGATGTTTTGTTTTAAACAAATGCAAGTTTGCGACTATGAGCCTTAGCTGGAGTTTGGTGTCCTAAGAACCTAGATAGGGTAGACTATGTATGTCTCCAGGGGACTTTGGTAAAGGAGCAATGTGAGAAACCATCCTTGAATTTAGACTTCTAGCCTTCTTAACTGTTAGAAAATAAAATTCTTAATATGATAAAATGGAAAAATGGAATCAAAATCTTCATAAATAGGGAGGAATGGAGGGGTTGAAGGGAGGGCTGGGCAAGGGTGAAAAATAAGAACCAAGAGAGACTATGTAAAGGTGCAAATTCCCAATGATGAATGTCATTATATTGTATCTCTAAAATGTACCAATGATTAGAATGAATAATTGATAATGCAAAATAGGAAGAAAAGGCCCAAAGGGGTGGGGGTAGTGGGGTAGTGGGAGGGGCAGGGGAAAGGAAAGAAGGGAAAGAAAAATGATGAGAAATGGAAAAAATGGAAATAAAGTCTTTGTAAATAGGGAAGGGTAGAGGGGGTGAAGGGAGGGCTAGGAATGGGGAAAAAATAAGAACCAAGATGCATTATGTAAAGGTACAATTCCCAATGAGAAATGTAATGGTGTTGTATACCTACAATGTATCAATAAAATAATTTAAGTAATAAAAAAAAAGAAAATGAAATTCTGTTGTTTTAAGCCACCAAATTTATTGTAATTTGCTACAGCAGCCCTAGGAAACTAACATAAGGTGGGTGATGGAAAAATATCATTTCAACTTATATGTAAAAAATTCTGCTTTTCTCTAGACTAGGAAAGGGTAATTCTGAAGTATAGATTCTATTTTTACCATAATATTGTGGGAAAAGCCAGGGACTAGAGTACTGAGCTCTCTGAGAATCAGGGAAGGGAAAGAGGTGAATTGAATGTGTGTACCAAACTCCTTTTACCTTCTGCAGATGGGATCCTCATGGGAAAATACCGCTCACTTTTCCACCCAGAGCAGTTTGTTAGTGGAAAGGAGGATGCTGCAAACAACTATGCACGAGGTCACTATTCTGTGGGCTCACAGATCATCGAACTTGTGGTAGAGAAGATCCGGAAGCTGGCAAGTAGCTTCTATTCCTACAACTTGGCCGTGCTGGATATTTATGACCCTGTATGATTCCTGTACTTCATTCACATGTGTGAAGCCTGTAATTCACCAGCATTACCCACCAATACCACCATCACCACCCAGGGCTCAGATCAGGGCAAGGATCCTAATGTTGGCTTAGACTACACCTTTTTGTGCAGAAAGGGTAACAGAAGCCTGCACACTCACCAGGTGGCTCCTATTTGCCTTTGCTTCTGATAAGACAGGGTTTCTTTGTTATCATAGAGTTGCAAAGCACTCTAAAACACATCATTTTCCAGTGGTCACCACTACTTGTGAAATTAACAGGAGGCACATCTTATCTGGAGATTATTTAGCCTATTTACTAACAGTTAATTTTCCTGTAAGGACCTGAATCTGGAGATTCTTTGTTAAGTAAGTGGTTTGGCGTAATTATTAACAGCAGGTCTTTTACATCAGCACTGTAGATGGAATATGTAGAACTGATAGGTACTTCATCTACTATGGCACCAACATTATTTTCCTCATTATTTTTTCTTTGCTCTTGACAAAAGATTCACTTTATATCACATACAGATAAATGTATGGAGGGCAGTGAAAGACAGTTGAATATTTATGCTCTTTCTTTTATAGTGTTGGGTATCTGAAATGCTTGAAACTAGACTTGTTTTGGAGGTTTTTTTCCCCCAGATTTTGGAATGTTTGCATATATATTATAACATTTTAGGTATGGATCTAAGTCTAAACAAGAAATTTATTCATGTTCCATATAAACCTACAAACATAGCTTGCAGGTAATTTTATACAATACTTTAGTGTGCCTGTGTTTTCATTGCAACCTGTCATCAGGAGGTCAGGTATGAAATTTTCCACTTATAGTATCATGTCAGCACTCAAAACAGTTTTGGATTTTGGAGATTTTGGAATTTGGCTTTTTGGATTAGGGATGTTCAATCTGTAGTAAAACTCTAAAGAGTTTCCTACACTTCAGAAGAACGACTCAGGTATATTTCCAAACCTGTTCGTTGTAGAGTCAACCTATGGTAAATTACTCCTTTATGAAACTTCTGTTGATTTTGATTTGGGGAAATTCTTCTATCTATCATTGCTACCCTATTCACTGATTCTGAATTTATTTGCCTGAGTTCTCACATTGCATGTACTTTTCCCAGGCAGAACAGTGCAGTGGACTTCAGGGATTTCTGATTTTCAGAAGCTTTGGAGGAGGCACTGGATCAGGATTTACTTCTCTCTTAATGGACCGGCTCTCAGAATATGTCAAGGAGACTAAATTGGAGTTCTCCGTCTACCCATCCCCTAGACTCTCCACTGCTGTAGTAGAACCTTACAACTCTGTCCTCACCACACATTCCACCATAGAGTACTCAGACTGTTCCTTCATGGTGGACAATGAGGCCATCTATGACATATGCCAGCGTAAACTTGGTGTTGAACACCTGTCCTATGCCACCATCAATAGGTTGATAGGTCAGGTGGTATCTTCCATTACTGCTTCCCTTCGTTTTGAAGGCACCTTGAATGTAGATTTAATTGAATTCCAGACCAACCTTGTACCTTATCCAAGAATACATTTCCCCCTGACGACCTTTGCTCCCATCATCTCTGCAGATAAAGCATACCATGAGCAGATCTCAGTGCCTGACATCACCTCTGCTTGCTTTGAGTTCTCCAACCAGTTGGTCAAGTGTGATCCTCAACTTGGGAAGTACATAGCCTGCTGCCTACTGTACAGAGGAGATGTAGTCCCTAAGGATGTGAATTCAGCAATTGCAGCGATGAAGTCAAAGGGCTCTATTCAGTTTGTAGATTGGTGCCCAACTGGTTTCAAGGTGGGCATCAACAGTCAGCCACCTATGGTGACACCAGGAGGGGATCTAGCCCAGGTCCAGCGAGCTGCCTGCATGTTGAGCAACACAACAGCAATTGTGGAGGCGTGGTCCCGCCTGAATCACAAGTTTGACCTCATGTATGCCAAGAAGGCATTTCTGCACTGGTATATCACAGAAGGCATGGAACAAGAGGAATTCTCAGAGGCCAGAGAAGATTTGGCAGCTCTGGAAAAAGATTATGAGGAAATGGGAATAAGTTCTGATGCAAATTAACAGATGGAAATGAATGTTAAGTTAAAATGTCATGTGTTCTTTTAAAAATCATTATACATTTAGTGGGTAGAGTGCCTCTCCTTGAAAGAAAAACAAAATCCTATCAGGCAGGACCCTAAATTCTACATCAAATGGGCCAGTATTAATAATGTACATGTATTTCTTTGTTTATAGTACAATTTAACTCAGTACCTGGGAGCCATCTGAGGTTTGGAGTTCTTTGAACTACTGGGTCCATTCATAGGTGGAATTTCTTGTTTTAATTTTTATGTCAGAATGGAAATTTGTCCTTTTTTTAACCAAGAGACTATGAAACTTTAGTTTATGCTTTTCCTTTCCTGTACTTAAGGCGGAAAAACATGTATTAATTTTGAATGTTATTTTCTCATTCATGTTTTGTACCTTGCCTAGATCGCAGATACTTGCAAGTATGTTTCTTTTCCTTCTTCCCACTGTGAGCTTTAAGGTCTCAGTTTGCTTTTTGTATGAACACACAAAAATACCCTTGAATTTTTATAAAATTTGGAGGTGGATATCTTGCAGGTTGGAAAGTGAGAGTTGTCTCTTCAGTTACCCATCCAAGAGGGGACTCTCAAAGTGTGTCCAGAAAAACCCAGCACCAGAATTACATCAGAGGTTTAGTCAAAACATGCAGATTCTAGGCTTTGCTGCAGACTTTCTACAGGAGAAGGGGCTGGAAGGGACATCACCCGAGGATTTGACATTTAAAAAGCACTTAATGAAATTAATTCTCGGTACTAGGCTCATTCAAACAATAATGTACTACAGACAAAATAGTTACAAATGCATTAAAACCACTAGCAGGATTTTACAGATCATGATGTGTAGTCTGACTACTAGTAAAATTAAGGTGAACTATATACTGTGAAATTACGCTCATGGTTAGGAATTGCTCATGAAATGATGATAGTAGATCATCAGGAGCCTTATTCATCTGTGCTGTTTTACCTTCCAGGCTTTGTCCTCCGATACAATCTCTCAGGCTCATACGTGTACTTTTGGCTAAAGTGCACATCTGAAGGTGTGGCAAGCAATGAAGCCTCAGAGCCATGACGCTGTGTCACGTCAGACCTTCAAAGACACAAGGCAACTCCTTTTCTCCTCCTCCTCCTCTTCCTCCTCTCTTCTGCTTCCTTCTCCTCTTCCTCCTTGTCTTTTTCCTCCTCCTCTTCTTCCTCCTCCTTCGCAAGCCAGGGACAGAACCAGGGCCGGGTGACCACTCCACCCCTGAGCCTCCCTCACCTTTTCCGCTCTATCACCTCAGGCCTGTCATCTTTTTCTTGCCTGTACCGCTTGGGTCGAAGAACTTTTTCTTCTAAAGTGGACTTGATTTCTTAGAACAGTTTTAGGTTCACAACAAAATTGAGTGGAAAGTTGGTCATTGATTTATTTTTCTCTACTTCTATGTTCAAGTTCACCCATTCAAAAAAATCAACGTACCTTTCTCTGGATTCAGTTACCCCAAAGTATGCTGTCATTTGTCGTATGTTTCTACTCCGTCATATTTTTAAAATAATGTACATTTCATGCCTTACCTCATCTTCTGTTCATTGTCCAAATTTTTTGGCATATTTCCCACCATTCTACCAAAGCAATTGTCTGGAAGATCACTGATCATTTTTTATTCACCAGAAAAACAGCTCTCTCGGCCATTACACTGGCTGAACTTGTTATTTGATAGGTATTTTTTTTTTAACTTGGTGACCCTTTCCTTACTTGGAGCTCTCCTGCCTCAGCCTTGGGACACATCTAAGTCCAAAGCTGGCTGGAATCTGAACAGTGTGGTCAGGAGCCCCAGGGTGCAGCAGGAACAATGCGAAGGGCCTTGGATAAGCCATGACCTTGGATTTCCCAGCTGAGTAGTTTGGGCAATTCTGAGGCTCCCTCTCCTCCATTTCTCCGCTTGTATAATGAGAAAGATATCTGTCTTTTACATCAGGTAGGAAACAATTTTTAGTGTATGTCAGGTAAACCGACCAATGGGCTCCATTTTGGCATATTTGTGATAATTCTCCCCTAATTTTCACCTTCTTTCCTTCTCCCTGCTTCCCCCGATTTCCTTTCTCTTCTCCACTACTGGTCTTCCTTCTTTCTTTTTCTTTTTGAAAAATTAATTTTATTGGTACATTTTAGGTATACAATATACTGACATTCATCATTGGAAATTTGCACCTTTACATAATCCATCTGGGTTATTTTTGGCATTTGATAATCTTTTGGGAAACCTTTCCTTTGATCACTGTGCACTCCTTGGTGCTCTCCCCATATCTGGCATCTCTCCAGTCTCCTTTTAAAAATTGTTTTTCCTCTAATGGTGATATCTTCAGTCCTCCTTTTCTGCCCTTGTTTATCTTATACACAAACACATCACTGCAATGCAGTGACCTTCAAAACCTTTCCCTAGTCAGGTGTGGTGGTTTATTCCTGCAGTCCCAGCATTACGCTGAAAAGATGAGGCAGGAGGATCAAAACTGTGAGGCTGGCCTGGGGAACTTGGTGACTTAACCAGGCCCTGTCTCAAAAAAGGGTTGGATCTGCTGTTATGCACTCAGTATGAAGGCCCTGGGTTCAGTGCTCAATATCACACACACACACACTCACACACTCGCGCACACACACACGCACTCTGTTTCCAAGTTGTATTAGTCAACTTTACCATTGTTGGGACAAAATACCTGACACCTGCAACTTGAAGGAGATTCTATTTGGGCTCTCAGTTTCAGAGGATTCTGCCCATGATTAGCAGGCTCCAAGGCAGAATCAGGCCCTGGTGGAGTAAAGCTACTGAGCCCACTCCAGGCAAGAAGCAGTGCAGGGAAGATCTAGGGCAAGAATACACCCTCCCAGTCCCATCCCCAGTGCACTTCTCCTGGTGCCCTGCTTCTAACTGTGCATTCAGCACTCCCGGGATGCAGTCTCCTTTCAAAAGCCTCACCTCTGTATACACTTTGGGGGGCATTTGAGGTCTAAATTATCACACAAGTTTTCTTTCTTTCTTAAATCTCACACTGGAAGTTTTACCTACTTGCTGCACCTGCCGTCCCAGATGCTTAACCCAGACTTTCATTTCTTCCTGGAAAGACATACTATTTTCCTCAGAAGAACTTGTTTCTTCCAAAAGTGTTCTCTATCTTGTTTGTTTATGCTATTACCATCCTACTGAAGCAGATTCTAAACAACACTACCTTTTCTATATTATGTCTCATTTCTTTCTAGGACTAACTCCTATTGATTGTACTCCTGTAATGGCTCCAAAATCCATTCCCTTCCTTTTCTTCATGAAAGTCTTCCCCCTTAACTAGTCCGCATGTGCTAAATGCTTTCTGCCTTTCACTCTGTCTTCGTGACTGACCCTGTACACTTCTCTATGGCTGAACATGGAAGCAGAGCTTGGATGATTCTGCTCTCTTACCCAAGATTTCACCCGTTCCCATTGTTTAAGCCTAAGCCCCAAAGTCCCACATCTAGCAATTAGACCTTGTCCCAAGTAGTTCCAACTTCAACTTTCAACCCCAACTGTTTGCTGTTAGCTCATGAATTCCGCTCAAACTGGTCTACTCCCCATTTCCCAGTACATGTTTTTCTCTCTTGCCTGTACCCTTGTTCATTCTTTCTCTGTAATCACGTTATTCCCACATCAAGGCACAGTTCAAATGTCACCAGCTCCAGGAAATCGCTTCATCTTTGTGTCTCCCTTGAACTCCTAGAGCAGTGTAAGGCATCTATTCACCCGCTTTGTAGGATTTATGGATGGTGGAGATACATTATGGAATCTCTTGCCACATTGAAAATACTGTAGTAAGTATTCACTGATGAATTTTTAAATTTTTTGCAGCCTACATGGTGCTTCATAGTTTGGGCTTTTTCAATTAAAAATATTTTTAATGTACATGTGTTATTTCTCTTTTTAGCCACTGGAGGGCACTAGTGAAATACATAACTGCTAAGTTAATGGGTGCACACGCATCCAAAATATTATAAATTTTATTTTGTTCTTAAAAATTAATAACCTACTAAATTAAGGTGGAAACTTAATTATTAAGTTTTTAATTTCAACTTTATGCATCTTATTGTTTATAAGTCTGGCAAATTTATATAATCGTTTTTAAAGGGGATACACCTGAGTTTTTGGTCTACTTTACAGCCCTACATACATACTCTTAAATATTTTAGATTTAATATGAATTTAATATGCTCTTACATATTTTAGATTGAATATGAATGTAGTATATTCGATTGTCTTTTAAGGACTTTAATTTGTCTGACAAACCTTCCTAAGTACACTACATAATTTTTTCAAAATCAAATAATTTAAATATAATTATAATTTAATATATAATTACTACATAAGTAAATATAATTTAAATGATTTAAATATAGGAAGTACACTTCAGTATTCCAGAGCTCTCTGTAAACCAGTAAGATTTTTACTTACATCAGCAAGTATAAATTTATTTAGGAAATTTACATATTTTAAAATTGAAAAGACAAGGCTGAATATAATTTTGTTAAGTCAAGTATTCTTAGATACTATAAATATTGTATTTTAAAACTCAAATACGTGCAGCTTTCTTACCACAAAAATTTCATTACTTAATTTACCAATTGTTTATCGAGCACTTGCCATATGTTGTCACTGTTCTAGCCACTGGGGTTACAACATGGGGCACACAGAAACAGCTCCTGGCCTCATGGCGTTGATACTGTAGTAAGTGTGGGGAGTGAAGGGACAAAGCGTAATAAACAGCTGACTATACTGCATTAATGTGAACTGCAGCCATCCTTAAGACAAAATCAATAAAGCACAGAGAGAGAGAGAAGCCTGAGGCCCTGTGCACAGGCACGCTGGTCAGGGATTCGCTCTGCAGAGCTCAACTGCAACCCTTTCCAAACCTTTAAGGGTACAGGCCATGCATGGTCATTAGAGACAGCAATGTGAGCTCCCTGGGGACATGGTTGATGAGCGACTGGCTAGACTCACTCACCAGGTAGTTAAAACTGTTCGTGCACGTTTGCCTTACAGAGTAATTCAGAACTGTGTCTCAGAGAAATGACAAATTATTACATATCAAGAACTTGTGAGAGTCACAGTGTTAAATGCTTGTATACTAAAGGCCTGTTCTATCACTCACTGTTTTCCGGGGCTTGCTGGTTCTAATAAAGGAATCATTAGTCACAGAAACTTGTCACAGAATTGGGTTGTTAGAGTCTTGTGCCTGGAGATGCTGTCCATTCCTCACGCACCTGCCCTGCCCTGTCTGAGGGTTTTATTCCTTTTAGAACAATAAGGACTGGTACCAGTTTTCTTTAGCCCCTGCAGAAGTGCTTCACAGTGAAGTCGGAGTAGCAGGTAAACATGTTGGCAACCTTTGGCCTCTCCATCTTTCCTCCACTGCTGATGTTATAAACAGGGGCCTGGAAGCACGACCTGCTCTCAGACCTGGGTCTGTGCCTTCGGGCAGAATGCTGGACTTAGCAAATGGGATCTGTTTATCAGGACACCTTGCGCTTTCCCAGCCGCTATTGGTGGGTTTCAGCTTCAACCTACCCTCCCTAGTTCATTACTCACACGCACACTTTGATTGTGTAAATAGGCCACTCACCTACTGAGGACACAGTCTTAATCCCTAGCGTCTGTGGGGGCTTTTCCAGCTGCTCTCACATTCATGGTTAATTTGAGCTTCACTGTAACCCTGGGAAGTGGGGATGGCTGGTGTTTTTCATGTTCCCTGTGAAACTCAACCCTGTCATACATGAATGAGAAAGGGTTTGTGGCTAGACAGATATGACTGCCACTTAGTAGCAGCGAGAACTTGGATATATTTCCTAACTTCTTTTGGTCTCAATTTCAACTTTCAAAGTGGAAAGAAAAGAATACCTACCTTGAAATATTCTTATGAGAATTAAATGAGATAGTGTTTATGGAGTACTTATCAGGTCCCTGGCAAATTGACTTTCAGGGAAGCTATAGCATTTGCTCACAGGCACATAGAGTCTTCGGCCAGAATTCTTTCTGCTGTATGGTGTGGTTTTTCCAGGACAGAAACAATAGTTGCATTTTCACTTTTTTGGACCAGTGGTCCTGCTCCAAAGAGGTGGGCATTTTTAAACTTCAATTTTAACTTGTTTTGCAATTTAAATTTTAACTTTCCAGTAATGCCTGGCAGTAGGGTGACTGGCTTAAAGAAAAAAAAATTTGTAGTTTTGATAAGTATTGCCAAATTGTCTCCCTTTGGTTTATATTCCTACTAGCCAGCAATGGAGGAGAGTGGTTATTAGTCTCACCAGTGGAGAGTACTGTCAAACTTACGGCCCTTTGTCAGTGTCATAGGTGAGAAACTGTGTATCAGCGTAGTTATTAGAATGAAGTCGAGAACCTGTTCATATATTTAAATTTCCTTTATATTTGTGTTTGTACATGTTTGCGTGGTCTGTTCATACCTCTGTTTATTGTTTTCTGGAGTTGGTTCTTTTTCGTTGTTTTTTGTTTTTCCCCAGTACCGGGGATCGAATTCAAGACCCTGCACTTGTGAGGCAGGCACAACGCCACTGAGCTGAATCCACAGCCCTCGGAGTTTGTTCTTGTTCTCATTATTTAGTAGATCTTTATATGGCTAGCCAAAAGCCCATTTGTCTTTTATATGAGTGTTAAACATTTTTCCAAACTTGTCATTCATCTTTGGCATTGCCTCTGGTGGCACTTGTGGTATTAATTTCTGGTGTGTGCGTGTACAGGAATCATACAGATTGTCGTACAGACTTTCCTCATATTTATTGACTTGTCACTATGCAGAAGTGAGTGGGAGTATTGTCTCTTTGTTGGGACCCTAAGCCTTTGACTTTGCTGCTGGGAGGCCTTTAGAATCCTTCCTGATAACCATTTTTAGTGGAAGCCTGCTCCTATAAGTATTCTCATATTTGCATTCCATATATATGTGTACACACATATGACTTCTACACTAATTGCTATCACTTTGCTGTTCTTCGTTTACATATCCCCCAGTGGTCTTTTCTCTCTTTCAAATTCGGTTTTGTCTGTTCACTTAGACAGTTGACTTGCAGGGAGCAGAGGTCTTGCCTGAACCATCAGTATCAGCCACAACAACAGCCCAGCTCTGGGTAACCATGTGGATTCAGTGAGAACACTGCAATGAATCAGTGGCCTGTGCCCTCACAAGGCCCGGAGAAGTTTGATATGTTACCAGCCCCCTCTCCCACTCGGCCCCAAAGCCCATTCTGGAACAGACCCTAGGTTCCATCCCGCGGGTGGAACCAGGCCATGCAGATGAGGGCTCCTGCCAGAACGACAAAAGCTGACTCCCAAGCTCTCTCTCTTCTAAAGCCTCCCAGACCATGCCCCTCCCGGGGGAGACGGGAAACTGACCCACTGATAGCTTCCCTCGTTGTCCTTCCTGTTCATTCGATGCTCGGAGTTTGAAGAAAAAGGAACTGAAATGACCCAGGAGTCCAGGGAGCCATCGGTTTTAATGGGGAGCAAGATGGTAGGGAAGGGATTTGTCTGCGAGGCAGTGACAGTTACCTCCTCACGGCAAGAGTTGTTCAGAGCGGGAGAGGAGCCCTGCACTCTCTCTTCTCAGGCCTGTGGCCAGAAGCGATTGATCTGGAGGGGCGGAAGGTGTGAACCTTGCCTCTGGCCATGGGGAACAAGAAAGGAGACACAGAACACGGGGAGACACCTCGACCTCTCGTGCGTGCACCGGCTGAACAGCACTGAGCTTCTGCGCATTTGTACAGAGAGGAAACAGGGCCGGCGGCTGTGAGAGAGTGCCCAGCAGTGAAGCAGCCTGTGAAACTGGACTGATCTTCCGAATGCAGGCCAGCTGGGTGCGGCAGCCTGGGCTGTCACCCTCGCCCTCTGGCCCTGCCTGGCCTGGGTCCTCCATGTGCTGCTCTCCTGCTGGGCCTCTGCCTCTACTTCTTTCGCCCGATCTGTGCCATCAGTTGGGCATTGACGGCTGCCCTGGCTCGCGAGTCCTTGGCCCTGGCAATGTTGAAGAGGATGTTCATGATGTCAGTGGGGACGTCGAGGGACAGCGTGAACTTGCTGCGCTGGCCGCTTCTGCCCTTGTCCTGGTGCAGCTTCTTCCTCTGCGGTGCTCGGGACAGGTATTTGTACCGGGTGCTTCCCACCCCACCCCCAGAGCCAGGGAAAGTCCTGTCCTTGTCCTGATTCCCTTCTGCTGCTGCTCTGGAAGACGGGTCTTGACTGGGCAGGTAGTGGAAGCTCTTTTTGCTTAGAAGGGGCGCATCCTCCATCCCGTTCTGCTTGAGCTCAGACAGGGCTGTGTTGAGGAAGCTGAAGACAGGCCCAGCCTTGTAGAACCTGCGGGAGAGGCCCATGGTCGGGTCCCCTAGGAGCAGGAGCAGGAGCAACAGGAAGGGTGCTGGCATCAGCATCTCCCTGCAGGAGAGAAGAGGAAGTTGGGAAGCAGAGTGAGAGGGGTTGGAACTTGGCTGCACATGGAGTAGCATCCAACTGGGGTTGTTAATGTTCCGCTGCAGGGTTCTCAACATGTGGACCCAGAGCAGCGGCATCGCCATTATCTGAGACTTTGTTAGAAATGCAAACTATTTTCACGTCTTCTCTGGAACTAAAAATCAAAACATTGGGGCCCAGAAATCCGTGTTTTACCAACTCCTTCATTCATGTTTTTGATGTCGTCTAAAGTTAGAGAACCATTACTTTTAATATGTATGGTTTTGTTTAATGCATCTTTGCAGGTGGCCACTGGCCCAAGAGCAAAGAAGAGACATACTGAGTAAGCATTTAGCAGCTGAATGGGCTGATGTGAAGGCAAGGGGGTTTTTGGTTTCCTTACTCTTCACAAAGGTGATTGAGAACCTCCTTATTCCTTAATGACTGCGGCAGGGACCTAGTCAGTGTTTCTGAGACAGAGCTTTAAGAGGCCTTGCTAGGCCATCCTAGTTTCTTTAGAATTTACTAAAGAGTTTATGAGGGCAAAGTCAGCTTGGTCGCTGAGACCAAGTACCTCGCAGAGAGCTCCTAAATCCTCTAGTCACAAGGCTGCAGTCTTCAGTGCACGAGTGTGCTCCTGGCTATTAGGCTGAGGTGCTGCTTGGAATCTGTCCAGGGTGCCCGTTTGAGGGTATGATCTGCCTGGCAAGGCCTTGCCTCTTCTCCAGGTGCCTGTCCCATGGTATTTCCAAATGCAGGCTGGGCTGTGCAGAGGTCCAAGGCCAGAAGGAGGTACTGAGATGTACGAAAGGATCGTGGTCTATAATGACAATTTGAATCCCTGTTTTAGTTTTTGAAACTGCAAACTAAGTCTTAGTGTATGAAATTTGTGGCAGTGAAAACACCCAGATCCATGGCACTCGGGAGCTTGGACAGTTTGGGCTTTAAATTATCATGTGTAGTTGTTGGGGTACCGACCAGTAGCAACAGACAGAACTTTAAAATGTCTTTTTCAGCTGAGAAGAGGGGCCCAGGCTGAGCTGCCTACATCCTTCTGCCTGTGTAGTCTCCTTTGTAGTACCAGCACCCTGTTACACCCAGAGTTTATCAGAAGTAAGGTTTTCTGAGGTCACTGTTCTTTGGGACAATTGCAAAGTGGGCAGAATTTACCTCCTGCACCCTGGGGGCAAACCCACTGCCAGTCTCCTTCACCTGCTCTGTGGGCACATAGTCTCCAGTTCTGAATTAAGGATGATAGGAAGATTACTTCTTTCATTGTCATCCTTCATCATGCATGAAAAAACCGAGGTTGAATTGCCTAGGGTTTATCTTAACTCCTCCTAGCACCAGCATGGCTGGTCTTTTGCATTCCTTGGCAGGCCAATGCTGGACAGATGCTTGTCCTCAAGCTGCTTCACTGGAATGCCCTCTCTCTTGGACTGTCTGAGGAGAAACACCTAGTGAAAAGCTCAGCCAATTCACATCTGGATGCTTTACCTGCACTTGGAGGTTATTTTGTGATTAACTGAAATTCATGGGAATTATTTTCTTGTTAGTTGTTAAAAATGCATGACAAAATGAGTAAGTACATAAACATGGGGATTCTGCTGGGCATTCAGCAGTGCCAAGCTGGATATGGACTGTTTTGTTTTCTGCAGTCAGAGTGTAGAGCAGTGTGGCAAGAGGACCTGGCAGGCAGGGCATGAGTCCTGGACCCAGCTCTGCAGCTTATTGTCAGCGTGGCCTTGACCAGGCCATTTCCCCAGACATGAGTAGGAGTGGACTCAAGTCCCCTCCCACCTGCCCGGGACTGTGCATGATGGGCAGGATCAGGTTTAAAAACACCTGAGCTTAGAGCTCTAAGAAGGGTACAATGAGCCTCTGCTCTTTCACTCACTCTGGGGACATAGACACTGTTCACACACAAACACACCTGTGCACACACTTGCATATGCACGTATATGCACACACACACATTTAAACAATGCACCCATATACACACATGTCCATATACACACACACCTGTGCACACACGTGTGTACCTGCATATGCACACACTCAGGTCTCCACAGAACTTGCTTTCGTTGGGCTTCTACATTGCAGCTGCAGATTTCTTTGCTCATCTGTTTTGCATTACAAAAACTTGAAGCTTATTTTTCTTTAACAAAATTTTTCATATTTTATGACAAAATACCTAACGCTCACTTTCAATAATCCAAATGTATGCACTAGCTAGATTTGGACAAATCACATCCTGCAGCGAGAACCACACAGTCTTTGGAGTTAAAGACAGGATGAGAGTTGAGCCTGTGTCTATTTGTCTGAAAGCCTTGGGCAGATTCCCTAATCTCACTCAATGTCAATTTCCTCATCTGATAAATGGGATAACAGTAACTACCTCAGAAAGGGCAAATGAAAGATGAAATTTAAACTGTTAATGTGTGAAAGCCCTTGGTCTAACTAGGTAACCTAGGCTAGTTCATGGTTTTTGTACATGAATAATCTGTAAGTCCTATAGAAGAAGATCATTCTGCACAAGCCTTTGCAGAAATGCATTTACACGCACACACACACTCCAGATAGTTTGAGCCAGTAATTTGGTCCTGCAGACCAATATTTTTGTTGTTCTGATTGCTGGTTGTGGGTTTTGCCGACATACCACCCTTTCTACCCCAATTTATTGAGATTCCTTTTGCCTTTAACTTAGTCTGTGTAAGTAGGTGGCTCACACTGAGAATGCTTCAGCCTCCCCTGGAGGAATGGCTCACGCAGAGACTTCAGAGCCTTATCCTGAGAGCTGTGGCATCAGCAGGGCTCTGAGTGGGCCGGGGTCTGAGCACTTGTACTGCAGGTGATGCTGGTTCTGTGTCTGTGGACTCCACTTGGAGAAACATTGTTCTCTGTATCACAAACCCTCTGTGCTCCACAGGACATTTTACAGGGCTGGATTGACTGCCTTTGTGAAAAATGGGCTACTCTTTCTGTAATTATTGCATTGAATAAGGAGGCTTCCGGTTTTAACATGTACTGAGGCTCCAGTAGGTTGTTTCTGTCAAAAGTATGAATTATGGTCAGGTGCCCTATGCCTTGAAGGCACCTTAAAGCTTGGGAGCAATGTCGAACGGCTTGTTAACCCTGAAAGAATTTTCAAAGACAAAAAGCCAATTCGGAAAGTGTTAATACTGGTTAGAAAGTCCTGGAGAAGCATCCGTCTCTCTGTTACTCTATTCTTTTGTCCCTTTGTCCCTTTCACAAGGCACGAAGTAGCTCCTGACTAAATGCCCTGAATCTCAGTGCTGTCATCTGTGAGAGCAGAGCGCTGAATGTGAGAATCTCTTTCTTCTGATTTCTTTCTTTTCCTACTTCTGAAAGCAAGAAGTCTCTCTACATAAAGAACCAGGAGAATGCAATGATTTCTTTATTTTCATCAAATGCAAATTGCTTGGATTCTGGGTGAGCTTAAGTTAATAGGAGGCTTTTGAGGCACCTTCTTGGAGCTGTCCTTCTGCTTCCTGCTGGAGGAAGGACCAGGCACAACAATGCTTCCTTCCCTCCCCTCTCCACCTCTGCTCTGGAGAGCGTTCTGCATTTACCCTCAGCCAACAGGAATTTTGCACAAGAATTGCAAATACTGCTGAGAGCCCTGGGGGAGGGAGGGATCTCTCTCTCTGCCACCCCCTGCTCCCTCCTATGAATTAACACCTGAATTTGTCCTTCCAGGGCTCTTGGTGGAGTGGAGCCCGTGGGACACTCTCAGGAGGGGTGATGTGGTCACAGTGTCTTGCTACATCATATCCTCAGTAAATATTTGTTAAATAAACTGTAATTTAGATTAATAGTCAGGCCCTTAATTAAATCCGTCCCCCCCAGGCAGGACGGCCTGCTTTAAGTTCCCTGTTTATGTGATAGCTTCTCTGCAAATCCACACTACTATTTCTTTCAGAGGAAAAACCCTTTACAAAGCACATATATTTTTATTTGAAATCATCATGTATATTTGGAGTCACTTGAGGGTTTCTGATCATGGAAAAGCTTTACCTAAATAACTTTCTGCAGTTTTCCCTTGGAAAGTCTCTCTTCCATTGGGGGCTGGCTTCTGTACAGTCCTCCAGAAGTTCTGCTCATCTCAATTACACAAGCGAACAGCTGGGGGCAGGGAGGCAAGATCCCTTTTAATTTTTTAATTTATCTTTTCACAGGCTTTTCTTTAGCTTACAAGTACTATGAAATAAAAGCTGAGCTGCCTTCTAATTTTTCAAATCCCATGTCTCTCATCAAGAAGAAAGTATTCATGGATGGGATGCCAAAGTTGTCTAAATGATTCATAAAATGTGTTTGGGAGCAAGTGTCCTACACGGCATTGGGTTCTGGTGCTTCCAAGGGTAACAGGCCTTCCTCTGTTTGCAGGCTCCAGGCTCTAGTTGGGGCAATGTTGTCCAGATTTTGGATGAAATCTCCTTACCCTCATCATTGATGCAAAGTTAAAAACCAGAGAACTGTCCAAAACTATGAAGTCTGCAGGATAGGAAGGCTCTGTGCTGATCTTAGCCCTAGCCTGTTTAAAATGTCAGGGTTCTCTGTGAGTGTGGATAATTTAATCCCCAAAGTAGGTGGCTGAGAACTACAAGGCAGATTCAGATTTCTTTCTGAGGCTGCTCTTTTCAGGACTCATTTAGATTTTATTTGAGGCTTTCAAGATAAAATGTACCCTTTGCCTCCCAGGTGATATTCAATTCCTGAAAGAATTTCTCTTGGCCCATAGTCCCTAGTGAAATAGCACGAAATTTTAAGATTTGAACACCACCTGCCGTGGAAATAACTGAGCACCATCTGGGTAGATTAAGAGGGCGAAGCTCTTGTCTACACCTATACCTTTTCTCTTTGGATGCCTGCAGCTCAACTGTTCCTTTGGGTTAGTTTAGCAGGACTTTGCTAGGGTGACTTAAAGAGATACAGTTACCTCCACAAGCTAAGGCCGAGTC